TCAAGAAATCGTCCAAGGCGTGGTTCGTGTAAGACACCATCAAAATTGGCGACGGTTCATTTTCGTTCTGCCGCAGGGTGCCGCTTTGTAGCAAAACATGCGCTATCTTCTGACCAACGTACGTCTTCCCAGTACCTGGTGGGCCTTGTATGACCGCAAAATTTTTGGTCAGTGCCATTTTGAACGCGCTCATCTGCGACCTATTAAAGCCCAGGTCTTCTGGATTAAGTTCCAAGTCGTAGATATTCAAGACACCAGCAGGTCGGTCGTCTGCCGGAGTTCCTTCACTGGAACCTTCGTTATCATCAATTAAAAGCTCATCTGGGGTAACGTAGTCGAAATCGCGACCCGAACTAGCTGAATTTTCTTCGGACAGCAACTCAAGATCAGGCGTACTCCACTCGGCATCTTCGGTATTCGACTCCCAATCACGATTTACTAATTCACGATAATCGGAGATGACATCTTCCCTGGAAACTGACTCAGTTTCCATGCTTTCCATGGTGTTACTTGCTTGGGATATTGTCAAGTCCACTCCCTTTTCTATTATTCCACTCATGTCGAAAAAACCACTGGTTTTGTTTTCATAAGCAGGTGGCTTCACATCTTGGTTGCATTGAACGATGTGCTCTGCAAACGGAAGTTCACCGTCCTTAATTCCTTGCAAGCCTTCTAAAACGTGTCTGTAGGCTTCGAAGAACGCAGGGGATTCTACCATATCAAATTTCTTTTTATCTTCGATGAATTGATTCAGGATTTCAAGATTAGCTTTTTCAAATCGCACTTCAAGCTCCCCAACACAAAGATCGCGTGAATCTCGATTCTCCACGGTCGCAAATAGAAGATTGCGAAATCCATCGGCTGAAAGGCAAAGGAGGGAGCCAAACTTAAAAAGCTTGCTCTTCTTCTCCCATTTCACGCGACTTACATCCGGGTGAAACGAGTCGAACCGGATTCTGTAAACCATTCCCTTTCCACTACATACGGGGTATAAGATTGTGACGTCGCGGTACACAGGAACGTCTCGCGTATGTTTGTCGTGGCTTGGGTCATTTGCTGCCGTGGGACTGCGGTCCCGTTTAAGCTGTTTTATTCCATTGCGAAGAGGTAAGATGAAGTCTTCTCTTAAAAGTCGAAATTGCACGTCTAAATAATGCTCCTGGTCTAAGTACCTTCCATCAACAACGTTTTTACGAAGAAACGGCTTGTTACGGGGTTCTAAATCAGCTACTCGTGGGATCAAGCTCATATCGCGAAAATCCTCGGGTGGCGTTAGCTGAGATTCGTCTGGGTGAGTTGTTTTCCGGCGATTTATTTCATCTTTGTACTCCTTGACCTGTTTAAGTTTCTTCTCCAACGTTTCTGCGTCTTCAAGGAGACCTTTACTCTTCAGATCTTCCACCGTCTCATTCAGTTGGGCATTGGGAATGAGGTGAATAACGTCCTGTTCAAATCTTTGCAACAACTCCAGGAAAACCTCTGCTATCAGCAAGACCAGTTTATCAGGCTCGTAATTGTCACCAAGCTCTGAAACGTCGGACATTTGGCTGATAAACTTGGTAAGATGCAATTGCAGGCAATTTGTTTTAATTACCATACGTAGCATTTTGTTAGCAATCTCTTTCTTATCATTTGGTGAGCAGCACACGTGTATGGCTCGAATAACAAGCTTCATCAGATCGGGTCGTATTGTTTCTGTCTTCAGCAAAGCCTCAAATCGTTTAGAATTGTTGAAGAGATCCAATATGCCTTCATCAGGAGAGTTTGAATTGCAGATTTTATCCAATGCCATGTAATTGAGAGGCTTTGGATCTCTTTTTTGTTGAATTCCAGCCTCTCCATGACTTTCTCTTCCATTTCTGTCAATTTCTCGTCTTCTCTCCAGGGAAAACCCACGTGACTGCCATGTTCCACTGTCATTTCTTTCGATGCATCCTTGTCCTTCAACAGACATGCACAGTCTCTTTGATTTCTTAAAATCATGACCCTCTTCACAGAAGGATCTTTTATTTCCTATCACTGTTACGGTTCTCTTCATATTTTTCTGACTTTGGAAGTTACGTTACCAGCAACATGGAATACTTAACCTAAATACTTAAAACAAAAAGGAAAAAAAAGAAAAGATAAAAACCAAGAATTCTCCAAGCCATAGTTAGTAACTGATCGTTTATTTAACAGTCCTTGTAAGAGTACACTTGATAATGACTTTAGTGATAGACAGCCTGAGCGAAAGTCATCCTCAGGGTCACGTGAGGAGTCACTTGTCAGTCGAGATGGTCTAGTTCCTGAAGGCTGATTGGTCAGTTTCGCCGTGATTTCTTGGCTTTTTAACCTATGCAGGGTTTGTCCTTTAGTCTGTTAGCAAGCAAATTCGTAATTATGTTTGGCGCTTGTTCAAGCTGTAGTAAAGAATGAAATAACTGAAAAATTTGTTTACTGATCAGCTAACGTTGATCAGGGACAAGATAACAGTGCTTGTGCTTTCATGATACGAAAACTTGTTGAGAGGCAAGTATACCTGAACTAAGTTCTTGTGAGGATAAGAAGACCGCAAGATCTTTCCAGACTTCAGTAGAAACGTCATGGCTCAAAACTACTCGACAGGTTGATCGTTTCAAAACATTGTTAAGAATAAAAATCGCGTCTGAGATCTCAACTTTTTGAAAATTATAAGCACTTTAATTGGTTACGTAATTATGAGACCTTGTCAAGGAGTTTGACTTCACAGTCTAGCGGATGATCTGTCAATATTCATTACGGCTGGCTTTTCGCTGAAGAGCTTGTTTTGTCATCAACAGTATCAGGATTTATGACACAACTGAGCATTAATGATGAAAAAAAACACAAACCACTTTTTTTTCGCAGTCATGAGCATTAAAACATGAGCATGTAAAGAGGAAGCCAGTAACTATCAGAAAGCCACTCGTACGTCGCGCAGACGACAAACGTAATGTGTTCAATGAACTGTATCATTAACTAAGCGAACTATTCATCGGGTTGCTAATTTTTTAAGTGCTGCTGTCGTGTTGCGTCGAGGATTTGTCGATAAAGTAGTGAATTGAAGTGAAGTTTACAAATTTTACCCACCACATAAATTATGTACGCTTTCGAAATTAGTAATTTAAAATGGACACCTATCGTTTCAAATTTGTTTTCAGAACGCTCACATTCATACTTTGTGACAATTTGACACACTTTCCTGGTAAGATCAGCTCGATTTTAAAAATAGAGTTGTGAGAATTCTTCCCAATAACAAGCATCAGCATATTACCAAGTATTGTAATCCATACATCAATACACGATCAAATTTGGAGGCTTGCCAAAAGCGTTAAGCTTCATTTGTCCGAGAGTTAATTTAAAATTCAGCAATATTTATAAATCATACGTACCCAAGTCTCACATGGCTCCTTGGTTTCGACGAAAACAGAGAAAAATAGGATGAAAAAGACGTGAACATCACTGAATGCCACCGTCTCTTGGAGTATTCTGCGAAACTTTGCGAAGAACATCTGCGATTCCGAGAAAAGCATCCTCATCCTGATTGGTTGAACATATGGAATGATTCTTAAGTCACACATAGAAATAGAAATACAATCACGCCACCAGGAAATAACGTTATAACTGCGAAATTTTAGTGAGTCTTTTACACGAGACTATCTGAACTGGTTGAATGGAATAAATCTGTTGTACGTACTGTTTTACAATAAAAATCTGCAATCAAATGAGCCTCAATACAGTTCTTGACCAGTTATCACGCGAAATACATTAGTCTATGGCGTGACGAGTAAATGGCCACACGCGGACAAATCTCAGAGATTGGCCCTACAGAACGACCTGGACACTGCTTAGGGCAACGGAAATCTCCGCAAAAGCTATATCTCTGCGAAAACAAAAAGTACGCGGCAATGTCCACGTTAATTTTCCAATGTCAAGGTTAGAGTTCTTTGACGTCTTGAATTTACCAGATTATTTTTTCCTCTTACCAGAAGATTTCTTTGAAATGAAGGCACAGTCGGAAGCTGGTTCTCAACCGAGAGGGAGAGAGGTGGGGATGGAATAGCTTTTTCTTAAAATGACCAGTAGACGCTCAAATAATCGATGTAATGGGTAATTTACTGCTAAATTCGATTGTCAATACAGGTCAGTAATAGTCACTGATAAAAATACAATTAAAACATTGAAAAATGAAACTAAAACGCGGAAAGTTCTACAATTATGCCCGTGTAAAAATCTGATATCTTACACACTCAACAGATGATTCTTTTCTTCTTAAAGAAATATGCAACTTAGCGATATATAAAAAAAAAATTAAAAATTAATAAATTTACCACATGCTGCAATAACTTAGTTGTGAAACGAGTTAATCAAAAATTTACATATTAACAAAGCATTATAAATTTAATTTTTTTAAAAAGAAATTCCACTGACCCACCAAATAAATCCCCCATCGTCTCTTTAAGATATATTACAATGCACTTCTAAATTAAAGCACGCAGTAGCGTATAAAAGTAAAATTTTTTCCTCCGTAACTGCAAGCAATTGTTTCAATTTGGACACACTCCAATTCGTGATATAACTGTTTAACAGTATTACATACAGTACATAAGTTATTTGGAAATAATTTATACAAAAAGCTGTTCTCTTAACCAACCTCTCATTGTACGAACCCTTTTTCATTGCAATAAAATTTTAGCCTACTTGACGGTGAATAAAACCAAAAATAAAAGAATTATCCCCTATATAGGTCAAATACTATGTCCTTACGTTTTACATAGCTACTAATGAAACTTAAAATGCCCCAGATTAAAAAAATTATATTTTTACTACCTACAAATTTTTTTGGTTAGAGAAAGTGGTTTCATACGACCAAATGTCGCCATGTTGGATATGATGAAGTAATACATTAAGCGGTCATTACTGACGTCATCAAAATGGCGTCACTTCAAAGAAATGGCACAGCCACGAGTTACACTTCAGCGATATTATCAATGATAGCTGCTGTGTTGAAACTTGCTATAAATTAGCCAAGAAAAGGCAATGAAACGCGGGAGTAGATTATATTTGTGTTAATGTGTTAGCTAAATTGCTTTGCTGGGTTGTAAGCGGAAGCAGTACACACCACGACACCTTCGGAAATCTTACATGATACATTAAAAACCCATGAGCGCATCCTCTGACCTGAAGTTGCGCTTAAAGTGTATATGATCTAACTGCCTTTTTGATGAAGGGGGGAGGGTGGGTGGGGATCTCCACTGCGTGCTTCACACGTATAAGAAGCATCTGTGATAGTTTATCTCGAAACGAGACCGAGATTCAGAGCTTTAAGTATCACATAGGTTGTTGAGTAAGTTTGCGTTTACAAAAACTATTCCAAAGTTGATTGCTGTATAAGGTGTATGCTTATCTAAAAATCTCTTTAAAAATTTTTCCAAACCAGCAGAGGATAGATATGCCTAGGTTTATATTCACGCCTTATCAATGATGTACTCGAGGAGGTGGTTACGTTAGAATTCCTCCATGTGACACACGTGGACCATTATGCACGCGTAGCCCACGTGAACGTGCAATGGAAGCCATGATTAGCAAGCATGTCTTGAACTTTGCTATCCTTGTGAGGATCGCACAGAACTTCTGCCGGCTTCCATGATACTTAGCTCCGTTCTGAAGTTAGGAAAACCACAAATTACACACATTTTGACCAAAAATTTTATCGCTGAAAATATCGAGGTGAATGCAACCGACCAATATAGATACTTGCTTTCACGTCTTTTCCGCTTCTTACCTGAAGTCACCTACTCCTTTGCTCTGGAGAAAGTCTAACGCTCGAAATGTCAGCTTTAGTAACCCTTTACGGTGGTCAATTTAAAATTTATTCTCAGTTGGTAAAACCCAATGATCTTACCTACTTCGAGCGCACGAAACAAGTTCGCATTGCGTGTCGGAAATGGAAAAAAAAACTCATTTTCCCGCCTTATCAACGGCACAGTAAACTCATTTTATCTCATGAACTACAGTCTAAGAATTATACGCAAAACTATGTCTCAATGAAATCATGTATATACGTTGCTCTTACTTGAGTACTTTAGGGAGAGGTGTTTGGTCCAGTTTGTACTGAATAACAGCCAGTTTGCATAATGTCCGAAGTGACGGCTCTGTGGAGTTAATGACAGTCACTCATTACGGTCTATGGTGCAATTTAAACGATGCTACCAATCGCAGCGAAATTTTGAAAAATCTTAAGACGCGGTTTGGTTGTGTTAATCCACAAGTGAGCAAGATACACCAAATTCTGAGTTAGGAAATTGCTCCTTAGGGATTACCCTCCTTTGAGATGAACAGACCAGTTTGCTCTTTACTTTTTAACTGTGCGCTCAGAATTACCCTTCTTGTGTCCGCAGTATTACACTCCATGTACGCTCATGGTTTCCCTTCCTGTGCACTCAAGATAAACATCTGTACCTGCCTTCTCGAGATTACCTTCCTTGTGCACTCTGCCTAACCCTCCCTGTGCAATCTGCATCACTTTTCCCGTGCACTCCGGACTACCAACCCATAGAATCCAGATTACCGACCCTGTGCACTTTGGAGTACCGACCCTGTGCACTTTGGAGTACCGACCCTGTGCACTTTGGAGTACCGACCCTGTGCACTTTGGAGTACCGACCCTGTGCACTTTGGAGTACCGACCCTGTGCACTTTGGAGTACCGACCCTGTGCACTTTGGAGCACCGTCCCTATACATTTTGAAGTACCTTCTTGGTGTAGTTTGAAGTTCCTTCCCTGTGCACTTTGGAAAGGAGAAGATAGAAATTACTCTGCAGTGTGTACTTACCAAGATCTAAGATGTACAGATCAGAATGATCCTGGAGGTGGTATTCATCATCAGCAGGTTCTCCTGCGGCAGGGCTACAAATTAAAGAAAAAAAAACACAACACTAAGTCAGTTTTTATGAATGAAACTGCTACTTCTGCTGTAAGTTTGAAATCTGTAGTTAATTCATGTATAAACATTTTGGTTCAGTTCCCTTTTGCTTCACCAACAGTGGGCTACTTAATAATATAAATACCTTGTTCCACCAAAGATCATCAACCTGGTTCCTATCAGACAACAGCAGTGTCTCCTTCTTGGACACGGCCCATGTCCTGAAATGTCCAGTTTTGTCCAAACATTGGTATCTAAAAGGAATGCAAATTGTTGGTCAGTTGTAAAATCAACTGTGGCGATTAAGTTGCAATTCTCAAAAAGAAAATCAACAACTCTCTGGATGTTCTCAGACTGTGTACAGTTGTAATAACATACCCTGTTCAGAGCAGTGCATGACTCAAAAAAGGTAGCCCCAAAACAGAATGACTTTTGCAAAATTTTGTGTACCTGTGTCTAAACTAAACACTTCTCCATAATGTTTCTTTTCAATCCCATTGTAACCACCAAAAACGTAGACATGTTTGCCATAAGCAACTGTGAAGAAATTACAAGTGAAAAGTTAATTACCTAAGTGGAGAGTATGTCACCTTCAAATGTATAAGGATTTGTCCAATCAGACCATGTAATGAAAAAATCTGTAGCATTATTACATTGGCTGCCTTGATCTAGTTGCTAAAATTGTTTAAAAAAATTTTACTTGCACAGTTAAAAACAAAGATGAAAGGAAGACACTTGAAACTTTTCAACTTAATTCTATCAACAAATTATTTATGGTAGATGTATAAACCAAATTTTTTTTTACATCAGTCTGCGTGCACAAGATATAAGACACATAGCAAGTTTGGGGAGCACTAGAAATGTGTATGAAATGCTCAAGATACAGCTGAAAACAACTTTAGTTTCATCAGAGCTCTGAACACTTCCCATCTGCTTTAAATCTTGATGAACATGGACAGAAACATGAACCTGTTGTCGAATGCCATTTTCATTCCCACAGTTAAACTCCCAAGATCTGATTGTTAACTCTACCCTCTGGCTGCTACAAATTTCCTTGTAACTTAGTTAAAAGAATTTAGTATTTGATCAAAATGATAACTTCTACCTGATTAGTTTTAGTATTCTCACCCCCTGTTTGCTATATAATGTATGAATACTCTAGGGAGAACTTTCATGTTTATCACTTCTGGGACTTAACAAGTTAATCTTGCAGAAAGAGAAATCCTCTCTGCTATGAGTTACCCACCACATCAGAGTGCACAAAGGAAATGTAAAGCTCAAGCATACTCACACAGTTGAATTAGACTACCAAATTGCCCGGCTATGTCATGATGTTCATTAGTAAACAGTGACTAACCTGCAGAGTGACTCCGTCGTCCAATGGGTACATTTCCAGATGTATTTAATTTGAACCAACAGTTTTTAACTGCAAAACATGTGTCAATTTTCAGGTGGAATTAATCACAAAAGTATGATAAACAGTGCAAAGGTCAGTTTATTTGTAAGAGAAGCATTCTTGTGTTGAACAATAACTGCAGAAATGCGATAAATTCTCAAGCAATACAAACCTGTATCAAATACTCTAACTGAGCTGGAGTAAACTTCCTGTCCAGAATGGTATTGCCCAAGTCTATCTCCTACAAGAAAACAGCAAAACAAATTAATTGTTGATTTAGTTTCTGGTCGCATGAAACACCAGAAAAAAACTAATATCCTTTACAAGGCACTCAAACGCAACATTTTTTATTTTCTATGGTCTCCCTACTCACGATACTTCATTGGATTGGAAGAAGTTTAGCACATTGAATCAAATATAACTAAGGTCATATATGTCCTAAATACAATGTAAATATGCTCGAGAAATAATTCTTCTCACTACACAATTAATATTCAATATGTTTGTTTCTAAGGTTATACTTTTTTATCTTTTCAACAGTTTCTATTTGAGCAGTTTTTGATTGAGTATCAAGAGTAATCCATGACTGCATTGGCATTACTTTCCTTGTTCTGTGACTGGTCTAAAACTTGCACCAACATCTCAGCCAATCAAATATGAAACTAAACCAACCCAAACTTGGTCACTTGCATTTTCCCCTGCTTCAAGCAGGCTGCCTGTTTTTGCTTTCAGTTCTCATTGGTTGAGGATCATGTTTAATTTTTGCTTTGTTATGATCGGTTGTTTTAATTAATTGGTTTTGGTTTTTTTGACAAAGTGTGACAGTGTTACTAATCTAGCCTTGAAATGGGATTTCCCAAGGCAAACAAAAGAGAAGACACCCAAAAACTACCTGGCGGCAAGACAATCAGGCTGATATGAAGAATTGGGGCTACACCTGGATCACACATGAAAAGCTTGCACAAAACAGGTTGGGGTGGAGAAGGACAAATCTTCAATAGCCTATACTCCAGGGGAAGCTGAACAATTGTTGGGTGGTGAAGGATTACCTTCCCTCCCACTTAACCCTTCATGCCAATGACTGGGATATAAGAAACTCCCTGGCTTTTTTTTTGTTTTTTTTTTTCAATCATCCCAGAAATAAGGGGCATCCCTAACCAACCACATCCTCCTGTTCCAGTGCAGGGAAATATTTGATCTTCCTGCCTAGATTTGTCAGTGATCAATCTTACCTCTGCCTCCAAAGATGTACATGTTTGTACCAACAGCTGTTGCTGAGTGGAAGTCTCTCCACTTGGCTGGTTCACCCTGCAGTCAAAAACACAAACATCACAAGAAAACCACCATAGTTTGACAAATATATTAATTGCTTTGTCTAGGGTTATTGTGATATCGGGCAAATTCTTGGGAGTTGGTTGGCAAAGGAGCCATAAAGTTGTAGACCAACTTGTAGAAACATTAAATGCAGAATTTTCAGGGCAAACACAATGTAAAGTGGCCACAGAATTTTGTAACCAGGAGGGTTACAGAGTAAGCTACATTTACACCCCTTAACCCCTTTGACCAGCTTCTAATTTCTCTCACAATATCACTCCTTAATCAAACATTAAGGTCATGAGAATAAAAGAAATGATCACCAAATAAAGAAGCTCTTGATTATTAGACAAATTCTCCTTGTTAGCCCTTTAGGAAATGTATAGAGAACAGTATGGAGAATATGCATACTGGTGGAGTGTAAGTGTTAAAATCTTACCGTTACTCTTGGTTGGTGCCATGTTAATGTTTGTGTATCCAGATATTCAATTGAATTTGAAAAGCACTCTCCCTAAAAATTAATCAGGAAATAAAGCAAGACATTTACAATGCAACTATGCTTCAAGGTGTAAAAATTCCTTCAAAATTATACCTGTCCAGAAGTCTCAAACATAATAAGCTATCAGTGACCTTATTCAAGCACTGATGGGACAGCATATAGATAATACTTGTGAAAAATGCATAGCAGACAGTAAGGAGAATTGATATGTAATTCTTTGGAAGAAAGGTTTATCTTGGCCTTTAACTCCCAAGATCTAATAGTCAAGTCTCCCTTTTAGCTACCTCACATTTCCTTGCAAATCAGCTATGAGAATTTGATTTCAGATCAAGATGATAAGTTCGAGTTTGTCCCCTTCGTTAGATAACGTATGCTTGGATATTATAATGAGATTTTGCATGTTTAAATAACAATCAAGAATTTGTTAGTTTTACCTCCTCTTCATATCCACCAAAGATATAAATTCTAGATTCAATAACACAAGCTGAGTGACCATCACGGGCAGCTGGGGGCTTTCCATTTACTTTAGGTTTGGACCATGTTAAACTCCCTAGAAAAAAAAGACAAAACATATATACCACTTAGTGGCTTCCTGTCCTATGCTACCTTAAGATTGCTCATAAAACATTAAAACAGTTGTTGCTTAACCCCAAGACCCCCAAGAGGGCCTAGTATCTAATTTCTCTCTGAAATATCACCCATGAATCCAACATTATGGTTAAGAGAATAACGTAAATGATCATCAACAAAAGATGCTATTGATTGTTGAATAAATTCTCCTTTCAGGCAGTAGCCAGCAGTGCATCTTACTACTGCCTAGAACTACTTGGAATTCTTGAAGATTCAAAAAATAGAAGGATTGCTTTACTGATTTGAAAATTTCTCTAGGTTACTTCTTGTCTAAGAGTTTTGTTAACATGGATATGCCACAGATTGCAAGTTCATTTTATTTTGTTCCGTTTCATGGTTCTATTTTGAGGTTAGACATTTCTCTTTACTTGCTTTCAGTTTAATCGCATCTATAGCGATTGCTCTGACGAAGGACTAATGCTCGAAGTGTCAGCTCTTTTACCCTTTACAATGGCCAATTTACGTTCTCAACTCAGCTGTTAACACTAAATTACCTGCTATACTCTCTCACTGACGCAGCACCACAGTTTGTTTAGAAACTTACCCCCTTTATATACAGAATCATTTGGTTAAATATTAAATATCTTTGTATTCCATAACATGGAGTAGAATCCGTGGTATTTACATTAAAGGAGTAACAAATAACTCATCTCACTTGTGTCAAAGCAGTACAGTATGTTACAGGCCCCATGTGTGTCATTTCTCCCTCCAAATATATAAACCAGATCACCCATGGCTGATGCACTGTGACCATATCTCATGTATGGAACACATCCTTTACATTCACAAGATACTGGAGGAGGCTTCATCCATCGGCACTGAACTGCAAGGAACATGACCAGTCTATCAGTGCTTCTACTCTCAAGAATGATCAATACTTAAATCCTCCATACAATTTCAATACAATTTAGAACAGGGAGGTATTGAGCCCTGAACTTTTTTCTTTCATTTTGTGAAAACCTACAAAAGAGATAGTTTTCTTCTATAAACATGATGCATGGATTTATCTAAAATCAGGACCCTCCTCCCTTTTCCCTCTTTGCTACCCTCTTGGAGTGATCACTACACAATATTTTGTTGCACAAAACTTAGTTAAATCAAATAAGAATCAGCAATGACAACCACAGAGAAGTTATACATCCAATGTCTCAAGATTGAAATTGGGTTGTTAGCCATATGAAAGAAGGACAACTGGTGAACATTAAGCAAAAAAACATCAGCATGGACAAAACCTGACAACAAACGCAACCTTGAAAAATGTTAAATCAAGCCCTCGGGTTTGTTTTTTGAACGTCCCAAGAACATAATTAACGACCCTTCATGCTGTGCAGTTTCATTGAAAATGGGATTTTCAAAAGTTTTGAAAATTACATGTATAAAATATAACTATCAGCTAAAGAAACAAAATGGGCTTATCGGGGTTCCATAACCTGCTTATCTCTTCTTTAAATTTAGATTTTAAAATATGCCTTTGGGCCAGTTACGTTACGAAGGTTTTTCAGAAAGAGGACTCAGCGCATAGAGGTAACAAGGAAGTACACAGTGTCATCACTCTCAGCTGATTACAATTAGACCTGATTTGAATCCTGACTGGTATCATTACACTGTATTCTAGTGGCTCTCCCCACCCAAAAGTACAAAAAAATGAAAATATTCATGTATGGTCATGGCAAATTTGTAAGGAGAAGGATGTCAAAACCCAAATTTATCCACAATGATTTATTTTCATTATTGGTGCAAAGTCTGTAATCAAAATCAAATCTCGGTGCCAAATACTCACAATTAACTTTGTAATAATATTAAGAACAGCTTTCGGTTGAGAAAATTATCATGTAATTATAGTATTGGTCCTCGATGCTTCATGAAGGGAGCCCAAGCTAACTCTGCTGCAAATTCGCAACGATAAAATATTTAACGTCCCTAACTGGATACTATACTCAGATGTATAGAGCTTGTTTTCTGCACTTGAGTAGAGTAAGCGGTCTTCTGTCCTTTGCACGTTCATTCCGACGAAGGAACATCATATTTTTAGCACAAAAATAACAACATTCAAGCCACAAACTTGTGGCCATATTATTAATTCATGGCGAATGCTGTAAATTAAAATGCGCACGTAAACAACTTGGCTCTGCTGTCGAACTCAATTGCTTTTCAAACGTTAAAAGTTTAAAGGACACCACTTATTTTTGAATCAATGCACGATTTCATATGCGAGATTGATAAACGAATTCACCTCAGCAGCAAAACGAAAACTGCTAATATTAGCCACGCAGAAAGATTGCTAACAATGCATTTCCGGTAGGTTTTTTTTAAAAAAAATACCTGCTTGTGACAAGTTTTGAATCTTCGAAAAGCACGCACGTTCGAATCTCGATTTTTCACGCGCTGAACTCCACAATGAACCAAAGCCGTGCAATGTTAACCTCAAATTCAACAAACTTACCTGTATCAAAAACATGCACATCTATATTAACAATTTGGTTGTATTCCTCGCCCGTACAATAACCACCAAAACTAAATATGAACCGATTTCGAATGGATACTGCTGCATGATTTACACGGCGTGGGCCTCCTTCAACCTCCTGAGTCCATCTAATAGCCATGGCTGAACTACACTAATCCTCTAACTACTTCTAAAAACGTTTAAAAAGGAACAAGCTAGAACCACTTCAGATTAAAAGCAAAGTACAACTGTTTGTTGCCAGCAAATGGGCTGCAGAAAATTTTGTCATTCGAGAATATTAGATGAGATGCTTGTCAGCGGAAACATCTAGTGAGAACGTGTTTGTTGTGTAAGACAAAAGCATAGTGTCTTTGTTATTTTTTTTAGATAAGGCAAAACAGCTGGAATCAATGGTGTAATACGAAATTTCTCGCCACCCAGGATGGTAAAATATAACATAATCTCTTGTAAAATGGTTTTTTCGACATATGATACGGTGAACGGAGCTCTCAAGAAAGGAAGCAGACCAATAACATTAAAATGCGTTTTTTTTCTTCATCTTCAACTTGCTAATAGCTCTGTTCCTTTGATCAAGGAACACTTATCTGAATTGTGCATACGTCACTCACTTGTAAATACAATCAATATTATTTTTTCTTCAAACATGTGTTATTAAATGTGAGGTAAAGAAGATATCTGGATAGAAGCCAAGTTCGTTATTTACGTTCTTCTTAATCTCTTCTCTCTTTTACTCATGAAAGAATGTTTTTAACTTGCAAACCGCGGAAAGCGAGGCTGCCAGCAGCTTTCTTTCTTTTTGAGAAACGATGAGGAATTAAAATCCAAAACGGAAAACTAACGCTCGTTTTTCCTGCTAAAATGGACAATTAAGGGGCGTTAAAGTTGAGGTGCTTTATTTATCTCTTTCTTGGGTGTGGCGTGCTATAAACGCTAGTGATCCAAAATCCTCGTTTTCAAATCAGGCCGACCAATCTTTACTAAGCCTATTGAAGATTTCAATCCAGTAGAATGTGCCATAAATTTTATTTACTTTAGAAGATAGACGTGACATTGTCACGAAAGGTTTTGCCGACATGTGAAAAGGACAACATAACGAAGTCTTGTGACCAGATCCCCAACAATAAGCAAATTAACAGACAAAAGAGGCTTGAGCACTGATTCCGAAACTACGAATACAACTTAAGGTCGATAATTTGAAAAATGGTAACTCCTCTAGACAACAACATTACAGTGAAAGAATGTCAACATAGATTAGTGGCTTCGAACAGAATACGGCCAATTCGCTCCTATCTTATCTTAAATAAGCTTAAGCAGATGTTTATATCCCGTGCAATAAACTCGGACTGTCGCCCATCGAATTATGCCAAATCACGTGCTTTGTGCGTGAGGGACAAGGTCCAAGGTTCACATTTAATCTTCAGCTCACAACACCTCTGCGAAGGACACGAAAAAAAAGAGACATGCTACAGTGTGAAAAATGAAAAATCTTCTACTCTAATACTGAGTCAGAAATAAAATTACGCAAGGTAACCACATAATTTGCAAAAACATAGCAGTTATTCTGAGATGCAAAGAAAACACTTGATATCATTAGCAGTAATTTTTTTTTCTTCCTCTTATCTGGGATTGGTGTTATCTTACAGTAAAATGATATCTGTCTGTTGGATTGAAAACGGAACAAGCTTCTGTCCCCGACTATGATCTAATCCGAATATTATCAGTTTTTAGCCAAGTTAAACGAGTCAAGTTAAACTGTTTTAAACGCTCAATTTGAAGGGACGGGCGAAAAGGCGGCGAGGGTAAGCGCGGGAAAAATCGCGGGAGACGAAATCCTTCCCAAACTCCTTCGGATTTTCGCTCGTCTGCTTTGACAGAGAATGGTTCAGACTAAATCTGGCTTGAAAACATCCTTTTTTTTAGCTAGTATACAATATGTGGCAACGTCTGAATATTTGTATTTTTTTAACCAGATATTTAGATTCCATTCTTTGTTCTCTTTCATTCTAGATTTAAGGTTGGTAAAGCAGAGTGCCTTGGAATATTTAAAACCTAAGCATTGTACAATTCCGATGTAACATTCTTGATTTGTTTTCTTTTTATCGTTCAGTGTTGTAATTATTATCACTTTTTTCGACGTCTTAGCAAACCACAATTTTGAGCGTTTCAGTGGTCATCTTAAAACTGAAAAGTAAGATTCGCCTTTGGATAATTTCTAACCACTTCACAGTATTTCACGCGTATCAGCTGCGATTAATATTGTACGGAAAACGTGTATATTTGATATTAATATATACCACACAGGTAAATTATGCTTTTCACGCGCGCTGATTAGTTAGTTCGGAAATTATTGGCAAGTATTATTCCCTCGCGCGCAGTCGAAGAGATAAAACCTTGCGTCAAGAGTTTAATTTCCGACTAATTTTCCGGTACATTGTCAGAAACAAACTTATTTTTTTGGTTACTGAATGGTACCTAATAAAACTATTATTCATCTTGATGTCAGTGAAGGTGGTGGATATTTACCTATTTACCTCCACTTTGGTGAACAATTGTTAAATGAATAAATGGTCGAGATTGAGAAACAATATCATACATAAATGCAAGCAATTTACAAAAAAGATACATTTAAGTTTTCGGAAAACATCCGCAGTTCTTTCATTGACTGAAAAATACAATGAAAGAACTGAGCACTTGTACAACTGCACGCGTTTAGAATCATTTTCTTCAATGTTTTTAATCAGAAAGGAAGGAGCTCGAGATTTAAGCCGGTTTCTAAAAATTTAGCGTAATTCAAGATGTCTCCAAAGTATTCAAGGAAATCAAATTATTTTGTTGTCAAATTCCAGCTGTTTAGAGGAGAATTTCCAAAAATATTTCTCAGATCAATCAAGAATTTTTCGTAGCAACGAGTTTTAATCCTTTCACCCTCAAGATCTGATTGTTAATTCTCTCCCCAGCTGCTACATATTCCCATGCAAATTTTTTACCAGAATTTGGTGTTGGTTCACGATTACAACTTATACCTGATAAGTTTGAGTATTCTCATTACCTTTTTGCTGGATAATGTAGGGGTGTTATAGGGAGAAGCTATATGTCAATCACTTCTGAGGGCAACATGTTAATAATATCTATAAAAGGTAGTTTCCAAGAAATATTGATTGGTAGACCCAGGGCCTCGCGGATTTTTCAAGTTGGCGATTACAGCAGCAAGGTTGCATTCGAGCAATTCAATTCTGCTTCGGTAGCATTCCTTTAACGGCGGTGAAAAGAATCGCAAATTCTTGGAACTCGAATCTGAAGGGAAACTAATTTCTTGGTACTGAAGTTTTGATGAACAAGCTACTGATTCTTAAAGGACGATTGTGAGTATAAATTTTTTTTACTTTCCAATTTAAGTTGCGAGAAACTCATTTTTTACATGTATTTTGAAAATTCCTCGCTTTGTGTCGTAAACTGATTTAATTAGAACAACAAACCTTCTCTCGCTTACACAATTATTTTGACTGAAGAACAGTTCGCTTTTGCCTTTTGCCTCGGCGATTGATTTCTTTCCTCGTGTAATATAAACCCAACCTAATGTCAATCTTAATAACACGTTCTCTTATTTCGTAACGACATTTTACAAAATCATGACACGCCATACTAGGCACCATTGTTGAATTCAATGAAAAGGCAAGGGAAATATAAGATTTGTGGCTGAGTTTTTATTCAAGTCTTAAATCTGTGTGGCACCAGACAGGATGTTGTTTCCATTCAAACCAAACAGATTTACATAATTACTTTTTCTCCTTCAGTCGACAAGAAGGCGAACTTTCCACAGAACTATATGTAATGATTTTCCTATTTAAATAATGTTTAGGGCCAGCGCCGGCCTGGTATAGCAATTCAAGAGGTACGGTGTGCGTGTGAAAATAATTTCAAAAACATCAACTGCATTTACATGATTCAAAGCAGCGCTTATTTGTAATTAACCTTATGCGGTTCGTTTGCCAGTAGAGGATATTTTCGTTGAGATTGAAATCAACAATTTGACACCTCTTGCTTACCTTCATGACTGAAAGGGTTGCATTTATTAATCACGTTCCATAATTTATGGCCCGTAGCGAAAAAGAACAGAGGTTACTGTCAGAATAATTCAGTGAAATTTAATTTGATTGCAAGTCCCATTGAAAAGTTGAAATTCTTTATTATTTATATCATTAATCAAAGTTTTCACGTAACGGTGAAACAAATTTTAAACAGAAGGATTTCGGTATCTCTGAAAATTGTCTAATCTATGGTAAGGATTTGCTTGCTGTTGTTGAGAACTTCGTACGCTCTTATATTTCAAAATACAATTTTTATCTTGCTCTCTCTCCTTGCTATTGCTGCATGATAGGGCACAAATTTCACTTAAAGAAATTTCTTTCCAGGTCAATGCCCCTTATCAGAACTTGTGCGTGATTAGCACATGCAATTTTCATCGAAAGGCTCATGATCAGTTCGGAAAAATAAACCTGATTTCTGCGTTGTAATTTTATGGTCAAATCCGTTGTTAAGTGTTTTACTTAGTCTCAGCACAATTACTGAGATTCTGGGAAACTCAGAAATTGGAAAAAGCCCCACAAATAAAACCGGAATTGTATTAAAAACATCGAGATAAACTTACAACTGCTCTAAGCCGCCAGAGATGAAGGAAAAACATCCAACGGTAACAACTAAGGATGTATTTACGTAAAACAAGAGATTACAAATCTCTTGTATATAATTTTTAAAAAAAAATTGAGATCCCGGCGTTTTTATTAAATTATAATGACAGTAATGGATCCTTTTGCTCCATGGGGCCGAGATGGCGCGCTTTTTGCAAAATTGATTTTAACGGAAATGCTTATCACTCTATCTTGTTTTGCTCTACAGCTTAACAGTCTCCTATATCTTTGGTACCAATGAATGAAACGCCGTCTTTTTGGAAATCAGCCCACATAAAAAAAATATTCCTTATGAGATTTTCATTAACCTGACTTCCGATCAAAAAATGACGCAGCAAATTCTTTCAGCTGGACAGCACATTTACCTTTCAAATAAACTCTTGACGATTCGTGCTGAAAATGGCTTCTTTGCTATTCATATATGCACATTAACGTCTTCCTGTCCCAGCTGTTCACCTCATGGCTGTTGGAAAATCGAAGAGAAAAGAAATGAATTCATAAGCCAAAACGCAAGAACAAAGATTCTGCTTTCACTTATCGTTTTACAAGTGTTGCTTTCATAACAAGAAACACCAAAAAACTTGAAATATTTTAAGAGAAAGACAGAGCCCAGCTGTTCAAATTTTTTGTTGCGTTCATTGCAACCAAATTGCTGAATCAAGAATAATTCGGTGAAAGACATGCAAAAAGGTGGCATAATATACAATTCTGCATAACAGCATTATGGCGTCGAAAACAGGCCTTTGAAATATAAAAATAAAAATAAGGGAATTTTAATCTTTAAATGCTTCATTAGTTCTGCTAACCTCTGCATAGAATATATATGAATTTTGAGTGAAAACTATGTTTCTGATTTATAAAACGTTCGGTCTCGAAAACGAACCACTCCTCCATAATGAAATTATCTTGGAACAATGACATCGAACATGATTGCGCCTGCAAAATGAATACTTGTAAAATTAGAAGATGACCGCTCGACATTTAAAATCTTTTCGATTCAACGTTCACTATGCTGTCTCCTGTCTGTAAGGGTTGCTGTGACAACAAATGGATTTCTATGAATAGTCAGCAAAGTTCTCCAAAGCACGAAATTAAAAGAACCTATTTTCACTTTATTGCCGGTTTTCAGGTGCCGGATTTTTTTCAGACATGGTCCGCAGTAAAGTACCACTTCAGACTTCATCTGCGTATACAAAAAGAAGGCTAATAAGTGCCAGAGACCCACGTGTTGTTTACTCTAGGAAATCAACACGAACACATTTGCCTCGATAGAGACTTTGCTCCTCCAAAACACAAACGGTCACGTACCCATAAGTTTTCAAGCGGATATTTACGTTTTGCCTTCGGGGGACACTCAACTGATCTTGAAAATGTGCTCCGAACCAAATCGAAAAATTAAAGTGAACATTAATCAGCAAAATTACAAAATAATTACGCACGAGAAAGAGAGTTGAATCTAAACTCGCTCAATTAAGGCCTCTCGAGAAATGTTATCTTTGTTTCATCTTTTGACTATGAAGAATGAAATGGAGCTAAGGAATTGGTTACTTTATCAGACTCTAGTTTTACTGTTCCAAATACTGAAATAAAACATAAATATTGAATAAATAACTTCATCTCTGTCCAAAATACTACCGCAACATGTGCAGGTGTCGACTCTAAAAGAACCGAAGGAAATATAAGTTGATAAAATTTCGCGAAAACTAAAGTTCCTAAACTGTTCGCCTCCTTTTCTTTGAGTTAATTTGACCATTCTTAAGCTGTGCCCTGTGTCAAGTCCAAGTTAAGAGTTCAATCGCGATTTCTCTGGAAGCAAATTGCTCCTGCAATTTTATCGACTTCATTTGAACCCGTGGATGGCGATGTCAGCTCTATCTCTTTTCTTGCATCGTAAAGGTTTGAATTATTGCAACCAGGAGTCAATCACTAAGGTCATGTTGGGACAAATTGATTTATTATCAGTAATTTTCAAGTGACCACTGAGACTGCAAACATCTGAGATTGTGGCATAGTGAGTCTTCTCCATTCGTGTAAGCTACCCTACATGGAAAATCGATTATAGATCAAATGATCCGTTCTTTAGAACGTACGGTATAAAATAAACCAAGGCTATGTTGTCAAATCAAAGCAGTCAGTCACATTATCTTAGAAACGGTACTCTAAAATTGCTCATTTTCGCAATTTTTTTTTAAAGACCTAGGCGTATTGAATACCTTCCGCTACAAAAATTTAAAGTTACATTTCCTCCTCTAAAAATTAAGAAGGCCATCTGGATTTCATATTAGTTTCCGGCCGGTAGTTAAAATATAGTGGTTTTACCTTTCGATTGCCATCTTGGTGAAGAATCTTTGAATTGGACCCACGAAATACAAAGGCCTTTGCTATGAATACATTTACATTTCATCGGATTTGTTTCTTTTGGAATTCCTGGTTGGTTTAAATTCATCAACGCTTGAAGAAGAAGTAAACATGTAAAAAAAGAAAAATTTTAAAAAATAGATCGGTTTGGCCAATAGCATGCATATATGTGCTATAGCTCATTGCCTCATTGCCTTTAAGAAATCAATTGTTATATTTTACAATCTTTTATATATAATATTTGATATCCTCGTTATTTATTTATATTTTTTGAAATTTAGCTAGGACCTCCCTGAAAATCGTGTTTGAATGAGTAGGGCATCCTCATTAAAGATCACTTCTCCTACGTTTGCCAGTTCACCAAAAGCTGCATTTTCAAAACACAATTTTTAAAGCTGACCAAGGGCTTGCTCAATACTTTTTGATTTGTGGATTCGCAACAAATTACAACCGAAGGGTTGCACAGTTATTTGCTGTGCATTTTAACATGAATTGGACACGGTCCCAAAAGCTATGGCTAAAAATGTAATCTGAATTTGACCGCTTTTATATCCATGACAGACAGATTCTATCAATTCAAAGTTTTCATTATACAGGACAAAATTGCTGTTCTTTCATTAAGGCATATATTAACTCAGAAATTCTATTACTATTTGAAAATATCTGTCTAAATCTTAACTCTACAATGTTAATTAGAGCCGAGATATCGATAAATAAATAATCAATATAAATTAAAAATTCATACTTGATAGATGTTTAGCTCTTGTACAGGGTATGGTGGCCACAACTTTTACGAAGAAATTAGGATAAGCATTTTGTCGAATTCAATTTGCAGATTATTTCAGATTCTCTTGGTTCTTCCAGAGCCTCCTAGAAGGGAAAAATTTTAGTCGGTACCGTGATGTAGCATGTAGATATTACTAAATTAGGCTTTGATAAATGCTAAAATCCTTTTTCTCCGAGACACTAGTCTCTTTAGAGATTATTTTTTCTCTCAACCACTGGCACACAGATACTGTCATCAAACCGATTTGAGATGGGTTAGTTTGATAAAGTCACGCGACGTCACGTGACGTGTCCACCATCTTTAATTTCAACTGGAAACTTGGATAGACCCTGGGAACTAATTGTTTTTTTAATATCGTCTTCCACTCTATCTGATGTTTTAGACACGTATTGTAAAACTCTTATTAGTGTCATAAGCTGTGCATTGACACAAATATATAGTTTGGAGATCCGGATTGAGTTGACATATAAAAGCAGTTGATAACTGACAGTGCTTAGTGCTACTGAGAAATTATTTACATCAGATACACATTGAGTTATTGTGCAGACGTGGAGGTATTTTTCTGCACATCACGTACGTTAGGTCCATACATATAGAACAGGCTGTTTACGCAGTATGACGGTGCAGTTTTTAAAGGTAGAAAAAGCTAAAGGGGATTAAGACACCTCCTGCAATTTTTTATTTGATGAAACTGTTTCGACTTGAGGTTCGAATTTTTAGATGTGATCACCGATATTTTTGACTAAATTTCCTACATTTCAGACAGCGTCAACTCATAAACTGACGGATGAAACTGGAAAAAATGGAAAAAAGCTTTTGTCTTGTGACCTTATCTCGTGCCCCGTTTTGTTCACTAGGTCAAGGTAACGTCGCATAAATCATGCCAATTACTGCAACCAGAAAACGTGCGGTCAGGCACAAGTCTGCAATTATGCAAAGAATATTACAGAAAGTATGTTTTAAGTTCCACCCGGCCTTAAGTACGTGAGGGCGTAAATAATACGATATAGATAATGCACCTTGCTTCAAAACAGGATGTTTGACTATGATTAACACTGTGAACCAGCATCACTGGGTCCAGTGCTAACGTACTAACCGCGATCCATTCAGTTGTTGGATGCCTCTGTGCTCAAGGTACGCATACAAGCCTCTTACTAGGTTAGTATTGAAGAATTGCTCTGAAAGCCGGTAAAAATCAAAGATTAACAGCAACGTGGCTGCGGTTAGGCTAGGAGCTCCCTCACTATGAACTAACTTACATTTCTTGCTCTCGTTCAGTGATTGAATAATTTGAAGGTATGTCTCTATTGGTCAAAAAGGACGATATCAATTTGTGCTCGCTCAGGCCTAAAATCCTTAAAAAAAACCTTTTGTAAAGAAATCTGAAAACCTTCCAGAAACATCACGGCTTTTGAACTTTGCTACTTGTTATTCCACATTGCTTTCCGCATATAATTTTCATTCAGACAATACGAATTTTTAATTGCAGTAGACAACCTCTTCAACCTAATGGCAAATACCCTTGCAATTGCTCTTACCCCTTTTTGGCAAATATAAACCACAAGCTGCTAAGTGAAACTTTGCGAGAAGGCCAAATCGAAATTGTTTATTTTTGACGCTGGATTAAATTTCCTGTTTATTATAATACGCATTAAGAAATTTATTTGAAAATACATGAAAGTTAAGCGATAATTTCATATTCGTGACCAAATGCTTCTCTTAATAGATCTAATAGTTAATGGTGAAATAAAAAGTGTGTGAGATAAAAATTTTTAAACGGTGAACGCTAGAGGGGAATGACATCATGACCTATGATATGAACTAGTAACAAATTAGATTAGAAGACAATTTGGCAAGTTTCCTTAGGGTCCTTTTAAGCTCTTGTCACAGTATTTATTGAGGAATTCCAACCATGGCCTGGCCCTATTTCACGAGCGAGCTCAAATTTCAGTCTTTAATCTTGTTTTCAGGGATATCACATCTTTCTTTGCTAAGAAAAACACACCTCACGTGCGCACGTGAGAATCACCACGCGAGAGTAGTAAACAATCACATTTTGTCTCGTGCGGAAATTACAGCCACATTCAGTCACGTGCGGAAATTGAAAATGAAAAGTAACATCCAATCTTATCGATTCCTTTCCCAGAAAGCATTTGTCAATCCCATGAAAGTTGCAAGACCTCGGAAGATTGCGGAATTAGCGATAAGAAATTATTACAATAATTGTGAAATGAAGATTAATAGCTCAGTTGCTACAGAGATAATCAACTACGCCTTACATATGATACATGAATGAAAAAAAAAGAATAATTGGCGTGCAACAAGATTTTTTATTTTACTGTGTGGTCTATATCTGTTTCTTTCCTCAGAAACATATCATGCATAATCATCTCCTAAAACCGGGCAAACAATGTAAATTGTCTCCATAGCGTCTTGGTAAACAGCTTTCAACATGGAATAAAAGGATCATTAAGCACGCGTTGGAATTTTATGGCCTCGGAGCATGTCAAATCAAGTTTGGGCGGTCTCGACCGCTTATACCCGCCCTAGTGGCCTCGGCGAGAGTACCGAAAAATTATTTGACGTCATAAATCTAAACACGCCCCATTGATTGGTCCACCACTGTGTAGATAAGCATCTAGCTCGGTCTCGAAAATATATGCAAGGGCTGAAGGACCCTATTTTGCCCTCTTTTGAAACGATATTGGGCGGTCAAAGCTCATAACTTAAATTTCAAATAGCATTCTCCGTTGAATTTGGCGAAAATTCTCTCAATTCGTGTAATTGTTACTTCAAAATCAATTTGACAAAAAAACAGCAAAGTGCAAAATAGATTACTTCGTCATTTTCACGTATCAAGCAGGCTAAAGACACGGTCTGTCAACTGACGTCATAATCTTATTTACAATCTATGAAAGGCTTCCGAAATCTTTAACTAACCATTAACTCTTAAAAGTTAAAAGGTAAAAGGAAAGATGTTCCGGGCCGTTGAGATGTTTTTGCACTTCCTTTGTGCTTTTTATGATGAAACGTCGTATAAATTTTCTTCTTTCACGTTTCCACAGTAAATACCATAAATGACTTTCAAAAGGGAATTTGTGAGAACAACTTTGACCCGGATACAATAGTATTACTATGGTAATTTATTAAAATATATTCAAAGCACGTTTTCAAGTTTTCAAGACAGCAATGCTACTACGTCTCTCATCCAAACACATCACGCTATCGCACAATCCGGCTTCAACGGAACAAATTCACAAAAGCTCTAAACCAACAGCGATTTAGTAAGTGTCTTATCACTCTTTCGCTATTTTGAGAGCGTATTTCTTTTTACAGCTCTGTTATTTGCTGCGGATGAAAATTAGAGTGGGTAATAATTTCGCAATGGTGAAGATTGTAAACCAATATTTTGCCTCGATTTCGCAGAAACCCTCCGCCGTATCTTACCGCGGGGACGGATTCAACAGAAAGAGTTACGAAGATAGTTTTCAACCCGGGATCACCCTTAAGCAAAGAGGATTTCTTGCACAATCCTTGACAGAGATTCGAGACTGTGTGGGAACCTTTGGAGCAAGCAAATATATCGACAACAGATCACCGGACGAAGACAACAACATCCGTTCATAGAGGAATGGCTAGCAAGGCAGTCAAAAATAGGTTCGTTTTGTCTGCGCTTTCTTTGTCTTTATATTAGAATTAGCTATCACGCATTGCAATTTGTGACTCTCGAGGGAGTAGTAAGGATTTAAATTGTTTAGAAATAATAATTTTTGTCACATTCGTGAGTAAGTCTTAAGTCATTATTCACTCCAGCCGCCTGACACTTCGAAGATTGATCGTCAATTAGTATGACACCTAAAAGTTTTCCAAGCTTGTATCAAACACGCAATCGAACTAATTTTGGTACATTTTTTTTGCTGCGTAATGTCTGGCATGAAAGCGATATTACTAAATCAACTATCTTGTACTGTGTGGTTCGAAAGTGATTTCTGTTACTCAAATATAACACGCCATCGTTTCCTTCAAAACTCGCCATTGCTTCTTTAACAAGGCCTTAAATAACACGTAGGCGATTGTACTTTCACATAGTGCACTAATTGTTTGTGAAAAACCAAAGTGCTTTCGATTGTCGATGAAATCGAGGAAATACTAATTCGATATGAAGTTTATTAAACGACGTGTGCACAAATTTTGGTGGACTTCGGTAATTTTAATGTTTGTTTGTCCCAACCAGTGGTCTGATTGGTGATTGCATCGTAATTATTTGTTTGATGTGCATTTATTAGCTCGCAAACGTTTACTGTGCAAATATTGTTCGTTTAAGAGCGTTTCGGAAGGTTGTATCGAGTTCTTTTCCCCTTTTCTTTGGTAATTGCACCAGAATTAGGTAGACTTCGTGAAGCGAACATTTGCATCGTTGTTTATCGATAAACCATGATAACTGTCCATGAGGTCGAATGTTGTTTTCCATTTTCATTATCTTGCTATAATAATCTTTTTCTGAGCTATTTCTGTGATGCGAACACTTCTACATATACCAGCTGCTATTTATGTCTTACAAGTGTTACTTAATTACCATATTTTTGAAGGATGTTTTACAATCTAGTACCTTTTGTTAGAGGTACCAATTTCAAAAGATCTACCAAAAGGCAAGTTTGTTACAATTGTGTAAAATCAAATTGTCCTGTTTTAGGCCAGATTAAAACCCAGAGTCAAAACCTGTCTGAAAATAGATTCAATGTAGCTGGGCAAAGCTCAAAATCTTGGCCCATTCTTGCTGAGATTACATGTACCTTTGCAAGAGATAACCTTCCTCCTAATAATTTTGGTTACATTCACAACCTGTTTGCTGGATAATGTTTGGATATTACAGGGAGAAGTAACATGTTAATCACTCTGCAGACTGAAAGGTTTAATCCCTTAACTGTTTGTCACTCTCTTAAACAGCGAGAACCAGAAAAAGAGAAGATCACGTGATGCAGCACGATCCAGGAGAGGACAGCAGAACGATGAGTTTGTGGAGCTTGCCAATCAGCTGCCACTGCCCGCAGGACTTTCATCGCAGCTTGACAGGCTGTGCATCATGCGGCTGGTTAATAGTTACATTAAAATGAAAAACCTTCTTCAATCTCTGGTGTCCCAAGGTAAGGATTTTATCCTCACAGTTTCAAATATTGGCAACTTCCAGCTATTCAAAATTATGCTTGTTTAAATTAATTTCTCTCATAAATTATTTCAGACATGAAGAAGATTGTGTCTCTCAATGTAGCAGATACCACAGTATATGACAAGGCATCACTGGAGGTAAGCTTGGCACCATGTTAGCATCTCACCACCTCATGCTACAGATGAGCTTTCAATTGGCAGTAACAAGCCTCAAGATCTGTTGGGACTTTAAACCTGATAGTGAACTAGGAGAATTAACACTCATATTAAAAAACTTACCATATTCTGTATGTCTTTAGGCACTAGATGGGTTTGTCTTTGTTGTAACACCAGATGGCCAGTGCATTTATGTGTCAGATAACATCACCCATTACATGGGACTCACACAGGTAAATTACCTTAAACTGCTAAGATCTTATTCTAAATTCTCCCCACTGGCTACAATATATTTCTTTATTAAACAGTTTAAGAGAAGTTAATCACCACCTAATTACTCTGCCTATTTTGATTACCTTTCTGCCACATAATGAATTATTGTGGAGAAAGAATTGTGAGTGTAAGCCCTTTATCAGAGCTGGTTAGCCCTTCTCTTTTCACTCTGGCTAAGGGCTAATGGGTGCTGCATGATCTTCCTTTCTATTAGGTTAAATATAGAGGTTAGTCACTGAACTATTCCTAACATTTTAATCTACATAACCTAACTGGCCAGGTGTCAGTATTATGGAAGACTTAAATACAACTCCATTGTGTTTTTTTTTTTCCTGGACAGATTGAAGTAACTGGTAACAGTTTCTACAAATACATCCACCCCTGTGATCATGAGGAACTTTCCAATCAGCTTGGTGGACAGATCCCTCTTGAAGATATGGAAATCTTCGATGGCCTGTTCTGTTCTGATTCTGTCTTTATGATGAGCAATCACTTGAAGGGTGGATCCAAAAAATCCATGCACGAGAACCCTCACAAGTCATTTTTCTTGCGCATAAAAAGCACATTGACAAGCAGAGGAAAGAATGTTAACCTTCGAGCCTCAACTTACAGAGTAAGGCCAAAATCCTGATTATCAAAATGAATGGGTAGACTAATAAATACTGCCTTTTAAAATAACTGTTCTTTACCTTTCTCTCAAATGGTCACACATAAGGTTTCATATACAGAGCCAAAAGTCTTGTGCATGAAAGTACTGCTCAATGACTTTCATTTTAGGGTTAATCACTTTAAAATTTATCATGTCAACCAAATGGTCATAGCCTTACAAAGAGATTTTTGGCTAAATTACTGTCATACACCTTAACTCTTTAAACCCTTAGAGTGACCAGCATCTAGTTTCTCCTTACAATAATACTGCTGAATCATTGATTTAAGATCATGAGAATAAAGGAAATGATCACCAACTAAAAAAGCTCTTGATTGTTAAACAAATTCTCTTTGTCAGCACCTTAGGAAATGTATAGAGAACAGTGTGGAGAATATGCATATTGATGTTAGGGTGTAAAGGGTTAACATTAATTTATGGGTATTCTCCATTATACAACAAGCAGACGTTGTTTGACAGTCAACAGCTTCTTTGGCCAGTGATCATTTCCTATATTCTAATAACCTTAAGGTTTGATTCAAGGATGTTACTGTAGGGAGAAATTAATTCTTAACTCTCTTAGGATTTAAAGATTAAATGTTTGTTTTGTTGAGTTTCTCTCTTGCATCTTCAGGTTGTCCACTGCACTGGTTGCATGAAAATGTCTGTGAAAGTCTCAGAGTCAGGAGAAGAGGAGAAGGTTCCATTGTTTATGGTCGCCATTGGAGTTCCGCTTATGTTCACATCCACTTTTGAAGTTCCACTTGACAGAGCCACCTTTACCAGTCGTCACAGTCTTGACATGAAATTCTTGTCATGTGATGACAGGTGGGTGTATGTAATTAATTGAATGCACACCATCGTCACCTTGCTTTTGCAGTTTTTCAATTTTTGTCCTCTTCCCAAGCTTGTCTTATTTACAAACTCATTCTTTGCAGAAGAAATTTAATCTTACCCTGTTTCAGTGTGAACATTTTTATCCAACATCACAGATCAATTTTTTTTTGGTGTATATGGAAGCTTCTCTATTTTAGTTTTTCACTGCTATTGGTTTACTGGAAAAAAGAAAAACTAAGATGTTACATCCTGCTTGAGCTTTTGATTTATGGTGCAGACAAAATAGTTCATAGTCTGGGATAAGATTGAGTGAAACTTTGGCAATTTGCCTGACACAATCCTTGAGAGTTACAGCCCTTTTTTTTAGCTCTCATGCCTTGTCCAATGATTTCACCTGCTGAAGATGTTGTATTTTTTTTTCCTCCAGTGTTGCAGACCTTCTTGGTTTCACACCAACAGAGATTGTTGGCAAGTCCTGGTACCACTTCCAACATGCTTGTGACTTGGACACAGCATTAGCATGCCACAAGACTTGTAAGTTATCTCAACAACATTCTCCTCCCTCTCCTCAAGCTGCTTTTCATTCAAACTTTTTCTGATACTTGTAACATGTGCTCTGTTCAATGACATGCCAGCTGGAAAGGCCAATTTTGAAAAGAGCACAGGTGTAAGGTTTTGTTAGCTGTTTCACCCCTATGAATGACCAGCATCTAAGTTCTCAGAACACATTCAGGTTACGAGACTAAAGGAAATGATCACCAACTACAGAAGCTCTTGATTTTTACACAAATTCTCCTTTTCAGCACCTTAGGAAAGGTATAGTGAACTGTATTAAGAATATGCTTGCTGATGTTAGGATTTAAAAGGTTAAATAGCCACTAATCAGGAACTGAGCCTGTTTGAAACAAAAATCAGGTTTGAAAAAGCAGCAATAATCACGCCTTAAAGAGAGAACAGTTATAGATAAAACTTACTATTAACAATTTTATTTCACTTTATTTCAGTGCTGACCAAAGGCCAGTCTGTGAGTAAGTACTACCGCTTCTTACTTCGCAATGGAGGATGGGTGTGGCTTCAGACCAAGGCCAACATTGTTTACGACAGTAAGACATGTCAGCCACAGTTTGTCCTCTGCACAAATTACATCATCATGTAAGTTACCAAGAGGATTGATTTTAATAAATACTTTTTAATGGAGTAGTGATTAGCTCAAGAACACAGCAGAAGTATATGGGTACACTCAGAGTGAAGGGGAGTGGTGTGGCAGATTTCTAATGTACTCTAGGAATTCTCTAAGTATGTTGTCACAGGCTGTTTGGGAGATATCTGCTCCCTTAAAAAATGTCTATCTATTATCAGGATCGTCCTTACATAGTGTCTCTTTGAGATAATAGCTGTGAGACTTAAGACCTGTCCACTAAGCCCACCCTTGTGGGAAATGTCTCTAAAATTTAGTGCGCCTTTCAACTCATAAAATTAACTGCTATAAAAGGGGCATCTCCTTCAGTATATTGTGAGCAAAGTTTACTCAGACTTATAAGTTGTAATCTTCCTAATTTTTTCAGGAGAGTTGACGAGAAGGAGTACATACTGTCCACAGAACAAGTCAACCCTGTACCTGCACCTCTAGGTCTTGATCTAGTGGTTAAGAAAGAATGTGAAAAAGGAAGGGGCACCAGAAGAAAACATTCCATTGTGCTGGAGGAACGTACAAAGGTGCTGAAGGCAGCAGCGCATGAACAGCGTCCAAGTGCAGATGTCAAACCAAAGAAGGAGAGCAACCTTAATACCTGCTGTATGAAGACACCTGCAAAACAGGCAGCAAAGAAATCCTGTCAGTGTCTTGAGGGTGTTGACTGTGACCACATTAATTTTCAGGTGAGCTGGGCCTAGAAGATGCAACATTGTCTATTGTTTCTTGTGAAAGAACCTTGGAGGCTTATAGAGACTGAACACTCCACTGTGTCCAATAAAACCTTAGTGCTTACCAGATCCACCTCACAAAAATGATTTATTATATATTTATCTTTATTTATTCTTGTGGTTGTCAGGAGTTCTTCCCAGTGGCATGGGACACTAATGATGACCTCATTGAGCAACAAAAGGAATATGAGAAGCTGCTGCAAACACACTATGGTGTTACTGATGACACACCCAGTCCCACCCACTTGGAAAACAGCACCACTGAAAATAGAGTCCCCTACATTCCTTCACCAAGTAATGACCAAAATATTGATAAAGGAAAAGTAGCCAATGAGGAGGAGGAAAATTTTGACGAACGTGCTCCATTTATTCCACTTTCAATCATGGACTCAGAGTTGGATTGCGATGATGATTTATTGGTGGAAATTCCTTTCCTCGATTCACCCATGATACCATCACCCTCATCGTGGCTGCTAAATGCAGATGAAAGTATCCCATCTCCAGGAAGTGCTGTTATGCTACCTCCAGCCAAGCCTCTATCTTACAACCGTCGTCCAAGTCTGTCTAACTCATGCTCACCTGTTTTGAGCAGAAAGGAGATCCCTACCGCCATCAAACACAACGGGTATGTGACAAACGAGACGGCCCACAAAGGGAAAGCACTGTTTCCAAACATCAGTACATGGGAAGCTGAAGTGAATGCACCAGTTCAGAACATTAATCTTTTGCAAGGTGACGACCTGCTTGAAGCTCTTGAATGTGTTGACTTCTTGTGAACTTTGGCTGGGCAAGTGAAGCAAACTGTATGTCTCATCTAGGTGTGACAACAGTTAAAGGACTTATTTCAATTATTTGTAGGTTATACTCAACTTTATAAGTTCATTGCATTTAATGTCTGATTGTAATGCAAAATGCAATTCCAGTAATCTTTGTCAGGGAACATATGTCATCACATCACATTTATTTAGCTTTAAGTTTGGAATTTGTTTGTTTGTTTGTTTGTTTGTGTGGTGATACAAAGGCAAAGTGGTAAGCCTTGTGGACTCTGAATAGAGAGATTCGAGCCCTGGCTCAATCCCCGTGTTAAGTTCTCGGACAAAACTTGTTAACCTCACAGTAACCCTCTCCACCCAGGAGTATAAATGATAAATGGGTACCAGTTAGCTTTCCTCAAAAAGTGAGGAGGACTGGGGGATAGCTGCTAAGGACTGAGATCTTATGCCATGTTGATATACTACCAGTTACCTCATACCATAGAAACCAAGGATAAACAGCTATAGTACCACAGTTTTGAGCCTCTTGGTCCCAAGATTTAACAATAGCTTTTTTTTCCTTATGGATAACCAATACAGTTATGCAAGTGTATAAAGTGTAGACAAACTTTTGGAAAGTTGATTGTGTTGTTTGGCACTCAACATTGTTGTTTTGGCATCTTTTGACATGTTTCCCCATACATGGGTAATTTAGAAGGCAACTTGATAAGATAAAACAATCTTAAAAATTTGTCTCAAGTTTAGGACAAAGGATATCCGTAGCGAGTTCTTATTCAGAATTTGATGCTGGTTGCATTTGTAGAGAAGTTGTCATAAACCTTGTTAAGTGGAAGTGTCAATATAATTAACACTGAGTTTCTGATTCTGGTAACAAGAAGCATACTGCATCAAAACATTCTTCCAAGCTCCCTTAAAAAATTTTTGGCTGTGCCTCACAGACATCAAGGTGGTAAATGAGGAAACTTCTAGAAGGGTAGGGCTTATTTCTGAACAGTGGCTGGTTATCTAGTCTAAAATTTTTCAGACCCTTTGGTTTCCAACAAAAGACATTGTAGCTTGACTTGGAAGGTTTAACTAGTGCTAAGATTGTCCTTGCAGAGTGGTACAGTAGTTAAAACTGAGTGTATAGATTCAATCATAACGGTATTAGTTTAAAAATAGAAAAATGTAATATTTCATAGTTAACATTTGTAGCTTCAAAATTAGTTGTAGAGCATAACAAGATTTTATCTATACAGTGTATCATTGAGTGCAGCACATGCCTCAGGTTGAGTGCATTGTGTGCCTGCTTTGTTTTCTTTGTTGCAACTTGCTCATGTACCCCACTGATTGCTTGATTGCTCATTTGACCTTGTGTCAGTTTCACTGTTAGACTAGTACAATAATCAAATTTTACAAAGATCTGCATCACGAACTTTGTATTGATTACAGTGTTGCATATTTCAATGCCATTTCTGTTGGTCTGCAAGCCTAACTTGCAGAGGTGTGTGAAAAAAAAAACTGACAACTTCGGTAAACTTCTGGAGAGCCTTACATCTTTGAATTCTTCATCATTAAAATTGATACATAAAGATGCTGGTGTCATACACTTGAATAAAGGGAACACGTTTCTAAAGAAACTGTAGTGCTGCTTCGGTGGGAGAGTATAAAAGAGTAATTTGGTATTATCAAATCTCTTTTGCTCTGACGAAGGGCTAATGCTCAAATTGTCATCTTTGAAACTCCTCGTGGTGGCCAATTTACATTATCAACTCAGTTGATAATACCAAATCACCCTGTGATACACTTATTGTAAAGATCACAATGTCCTACAGGATTAGGAACTCTGAAATCCACTCCTACAATTGCAACCATAATATGGTTTTCCAGCTGCTCTGCCACAAGTCAGAAATAAAATCTTCTATCCTCTTAAAACTATTTATCTTTCTTCATTGAAGCCCTCATTTGGGAACTCAATGGTTTCACTAAATCATCTTTTTTGCACAAAACCATCACATTTCTTTCCTCAAACCTGAAGCAGAAGTTCAATTAGTTCTTATAGATCTTGTGGGAAATTCATTCTGGGCTGGGTCTGTTGTCTTTTGTAAGATCATCAAAACTGAACTGATCCACAATCATTCTACAAGTATCTGATTAGCCTAAAGTAATATCTGAGAAAGTAATTCCTATTCAGAAACAACTGAAACACTTTTAAAAAGATTCTGAACTGGATTGTCAGACATTTGAGCTAAAAAATGTGTGGGCTGATCCAACAGGTACTTTGCAAGCAATTTTACCAAAATCAGTCCTTCCTTCATCAATACCTTTAACTAGCCCCCCTGAAACAAGTTCCCATCTTGTCAACCAACCTCCATAGCTCTGCCCTTATTTTGCACTCCCTTGGAAAACTAGAAAATTTCTATGCTCCAAAATGTCTCAAATGTTTACTGATCATGATGCCAATTTTAACTGCTTTTGAGTTTATCTTGAGATAATCATATTACAGTCAACTTAAATCTTAAAAAATGTGTTCCATGTTTCTGCATTTCTGTTCAGTAATAGATCAAAGATGATGTAAAAAATGGTGAGAACAAAAAAAGAAAGTGGCAGCACACAAGGCACAGTCAAGTGTGAGACATGTTCTTTCAGAGACTTTACCCCTTAAACTCCCATGAGTGACCAAGACAGAATTTCTCCTTACAATATCAATACAAAATCAAGAAGACAAGTGATGAGAATCAAGAAAAGTATCAACTAGGGGATTATTAGTTGATCCAGCAACAAATTCTCAGAAGTAACATCAGAAGAATTGTATAGCAGACAGTAAGGAGAATTACTTATGAAATCTTGGGAGTTAAGGATCACGTAAAAAGAAATCCTATTGATGTAATGAAACATACCCATTTATTGACAGAAACTTTGCCGATAAGTTAATCTTTCAAAGTGACATTCTTTCCAAGTCTTTTCTCCTTTTCTCTAAGATCTTTCAATACAGGAATGTCCTTTAACATTTGAGGTGTGACTTTTGACCACTGAATTCCAGCTGAGCTCTGTGTATGTCCTTGGCAATGGATAACCCTTGTGGGTGTTACAATGTAGTCTACCTACATGTAAACAGCAAAAGAATGGTAACCACCTTGTACTGAAGCCATTTCTATTGGATGTTTGTAGGGTAGTTTACTCAGTGAACTTAACTTTTTCATAATGCAGAAAAAATTCTGTCAGGCTTCACTAACAGTTGGCTGCAACCCATTTCTACTCCTGCCGGGTGGAGAGAGGTTCATGTACTGCAAAGGTGAATTTTTTTGCCTAAGAACACAACACAATGATCAAGCCAGATCGAAAACCCAAACCTCTTAAACCTGAGTCCAGCCCACCAACCACTAAGCTAACATATTTCCACAAAGTAACCATACTAAAGTAAATACTAAAGTACACAACAATAATGGTGAGGCAGGTTAGGTCTGTTCTTGAGCCAAGTTGTCCCATCCAGTCTGAGCTTGTATTGGTTTTTGTAGCATGAAGCGACAAAGAGTATTAGAGCGACCCCCCAGAATTTTAACCAACTTCCTTGACATTTTGCTAGAACCCATTTATACTTTTGGATGAACAGAGTTACTATGAAAGTAAATTGTTTTTCTTGAACTTCAACCTCAATCCCCAGTCCAGTGCAATAACCCAACGGCCATCACATCTCCCACAAGGGATAACATATTATCAAACTCAAGAAAAATAAACAAGATAATCATTTAGTGGCACTCTACCCATTTTAAAGCCAATTTTTACCTCATTTGATCTCACGACACCAACTTTGTTTAAACAAAAAAATAGAGAATGTCTACTTTACCATCAGATCATGTTCATCTGTCAACTCATCTGGAATATCCACTACCTGACAATCATGGACAGTAGACACCACAACTGTGTCTTGATTGACTGCTCCCATGGAAACCATCATGGCATATTCCATATCAGCATATCCCTCACCTTTGCCGATACGATAACCTGTTGTAAGATATCAAATGAGAACAAATACTTTTGCATTTCCACCAGGATGAGTCAGCCATAAAAATAACAATTTCTCCTGTTCCAACTAATAAGTGAAATATATCACAGGTATCAGATGTCACTCAAATACAATCGTTCTTGACAGCCCCAGGAAGTTTAACACTTTGACTGCTAGGAGTGATTAGCATCTAATTTCTCTTTACAACTTTACCCACATCAAGGTCACAAGAATAAAAGAAATGATCACCAACTAAAGAGGCTTTTGATTTTTATACAAACTCTCCTCATCAGCACTTCAGGAAATGTATAGATCTAGTACAGTGTGAAGAATATGCATACTGCTGTTGGGGAGTTAAGGCAGAGAGTGATGAATTGTGAAAAGCTTTCAAAACACTGCTCAAAAGTCCACCAGATAGCTGTACCCTTCCCCCCTCCCCTTTTTTTTTTATTCAGGTTGTCACTTGTCACACTGGTTCTAAGTATTGTCTGATCATTCACAAGACTCTGAAGTGGTCTCTAACCATACCTTTGGAAGACACAGCCACAGACCCAATCACAATAAGGTCAATAGTGATCTTATGTTCCAATCCCACAGGTGCGCTGTAATGAGTTATACCTTCCCTGGTCGCACACTTCTTCAGTATTGCAGTATTAGCCCCTGCCGGGGACAAAATGCGGTTGAATAAACCAGTTTTTAACCGTGGAGTTGGGACAAGCAACACTTTTCCCTCCTCTAACGTCTTGTATCTCACCCATTCTTGCGGCTTGTCTGGGTTCACTTTAATAGTTTTCGCTTTCTTGAATATATCCATAGCAACGACTTTTTCGCCTGCCGCATTCGCACCCTTAAAATTTGGGATTCGATGGTGAACTGGTCGTGGAAAATTCGCCAAATTG